CATCCTGAAGGGCCATCATGACTCTGGCATTAGCCTTCAGCGTCATATGCTGCTTTAAATCTTGCTGCGTCACTGCTGCAGCTGCCTTATTACAAAGGCACACTTAAAAGTTACTTTCGATTTCCCCAGCATAGTGACTTGTGCCTGGGAGCCTTTTGCCTATTCCCGGCAAAACCGGCTTTAAAAGTTCAAAGTCCAGCCATAAAGCCATTAACTTGAAGCTGGCAGGCTGCCCGGAGCAGTAGCACATACCTCATCAATCACCTCTACGCGCAGAGCAGATTCCTTTCCGATCTGTCCCTCTGCATTCCGATCCTTTTTCCGGCACTCCGATTCGACTTCTGGGCCCATAACCACGTGTTGATTTAAAGCAGAGTCTCGTGCCCAGCGGAAGGATGAGGAAAATGTGCTGCATACTCTATATTGCTTTATTTACAGTTCAAAGCTGGTATATTACAGAAAGACATCTTGCCTCTGCCGGAGCAGAAAATGCATCCTCTCTCCTCGACAGCTCGGAGAGAAGCACACAGTGAAGAAACAGGAAACCAGTGTACGTCACATCCAGTCTCCCTTTCCCGTGAGAAACTCCAACAGTACAGACTGTGGAATGTAAACACCTGTCTCGTGACAAGCAGAGCTGCACAGTGAAGGAAAGCAGAAACCAACAACCCATCAAGGCCCATTGTGCCCTCCTAAAGGCCCTAGGGGAGTAGTCACAGCTGCGGGAGGACCTGGCGGAGCCCTCCCAGCTGTGGAATATTGAGTAGAAATTTTGGGGGGACTTCAGCCCCCACAGCCCCACATAGATGACATGCCTGCTAGTCACTGACTGTCAGCCTAACCTACCTCACCAGGTTGTTATGAGGATAAAATGGGGGGTTGTGTAGGCCACCTTGAGGAAAAGCAGGGTATAAATTTATTTATTTATTTATTTAAAAAAACCCACCCCCCCTCAAGGCCAAGCCAAATCACATGCTGCTGTTCTCCATCAATGTTACCTAAAGGGTAAAGGGACCCCTGAGCATTAGGTCCAGTCGTGACCGACTCTGGGGTTGCGGTGCTCATCTCGCTTTATTGGCCGAGGGAGCCGGCGTACAGCTTCCGGGTCATGTGGCCAGCATGACTAAGCCGCTTCTGGTGAACCAGAGCAGCGCACAGAAACGCCGTTTACCTTCCCATCGAAGCGGTACCTATTTATTTACTTGCACTTTGATGTGCTTTCGAACTGCTAGGTTGGCAGGAGCAGGGACCGAGCAACGGGAGCTCACCCTGTCGTGGGGATTCAAACCGCCGACCTTCTGATTGGCAAGTCCTAGGCTCTGTGGTTTAACCCACAGCGCCACCCATGTCCCTTATCAACGTTACCTACTGTCTCCCAATTCCTAAGGTTCATTTATTGACTCCAGTTTAAAGCCATGCCTCCCGAAACTAAACAAAGGGAACTGTCCACTTCATAGAACCACTGTAGTTTTCAAATAATCTTTGGTTATTTACAGTCTCCTCCTCATGTACTGTTTGAGAGCTCTGGCTGTGGAGAATTATACAGGAAGTATTTTAAGCTTGTCTCATATTTCATCCATCCATCTACCCTGTGAAACAGAAAAGAAGGGGGGGGAGGGAGAGAGAGGAAGAATGTTAAAAATATTAATAAGTGAATTTGGTTGCCATGGGAACTCATTGTCTCAGGTGCTCTGTTCCCATACACTATTAACCCCCAAGCTCTTATTTATTATTCAAGGGAAGTAATTGACGGGGGGTGGGGGGAGTTTGTCACAGGGAGGACAAGTCACTCAGCTGAATATGATTCATTTGCATGCAATGAAAATGAATTTAGGAAGGTGGATCACAAGCATCCCTAAACTGATCTGCATTTGGGTGGCTGCAGTTTTTGTTTGCTGTCAATATTGAAGATATCTGTAAAAGTGGATGGAAGAGGCAGCAAACTCAAACCACAGCCCTACAGCCACGACACATGGATTTAAAATATTTGTGAAGGGATATTTGTGAAGGGATTTGTGAAGACATGCTTTCATGCATGTCTAAATATATATTTTGTTCTAAAAGGGGGGGGGGCTGGGATTGGAAGAGAGGGAGAAACAATTAACAAGATATACTGCTTGGGCTGTTGGAACCGTTGGGGAAATTGCAGCAGATTTTGCCCTGGGCATCAAATCATGGAATGTTCTAGGTCATGTTAAAAGGCCACATAGATGGGACCTGTCTCATAGTATGTAGGGGTAAGGGGGAAATTCAAACTTCAGCCACCATCAGAACTGGATGGACAATCCAGGCAAGAGGATAATTGCTAAGCCAGTCTTAAAGCTGGCACAGTGTCTAGGCTCATTGCCATCACAGCAGAGGGACTGGCTTGCCATCCAGCAGATCCCAAGCTGGGTTATCTGCTCCCCATCTCTGGAACAACCCATTTTGAGGTCTCCAGCTGACTGCCAGCAGCAAACATCCCACCAGTGGAACTTCCACCTGCACTTTCAATGGGCAGAAGGAGAACTTCCATCACTGTTGGCTGGTGGGAGGCCAGCTTAGCCAGAAGAGCTCAGCAAAGGAACACTTACCCGAAGCCACCTCACCCCACCAAGTAACCACAAGGGAGGAGGGGAGGATTACTCTGTAAAGGAAGGAAGACAACTGAACAGTTTGTTTTTCATGTATGGGAGTTAACAGAATCCATGGGAATGTCCATAGGTATATTTTCTTCAAGATACTGATAGTTTCCTGTATGCTTCTGAATGCCAGTTGCTGGGCACCTCAGGTGGGCAGAGTGCTCTCGAACCCAGGTCCTTCTTGCAGATTTCCCACAGGGATCTAGTTCTTCTGCTCTTAAAACTAAAAATAAAACAAGAAGAACGTCAGCAGACCGCAGTCATGAGTTGTGACAGTTCTTTGCCCTTACTGGGAAAGTATTGTCCTCTGGTAGAATGTAGGGACAATTTTTGACCTAACGAGCTATTTTTCTACACATCTACAAAGTGTGCGGTTTCATTTAGGCCCTGGACCAAATTAGAATGATCCTCATTAGTTTTTCACACAACCTGGGAAGTTCAGAAGATACTGCTTTGCTGCATATAACATGGATCTTTGAAACACCGCTCAGCATTCAGCAAGGTTATCTGTTTTCTAAACAGCCACGGCTTCCGAGAAATCAGCTTCTCCCCAACTAGGAAATGATGTGCGCTGATTTTGTGTAACCTGAAGCAGAAGTTCTTTGGTAAACATTCAGCCATGTGCCAGCCCTAAACATTTAATCTAATTCAGAGATATATCCAAGGTTGGACTGAACAACTGATACATATTTTCAAGGAGCAAAGATTAGCCACTGCTAGCACAAACTACAAAACCTATTTGCAGTTTGCATGGGATAGTTTAGCTTGGCCTTAGCATGTGCCCTCTGAAAGTCTTTCCTTTAGTTTCCTTTAGCGATTTGTCCGTTGCCTTATAGTACAGACAGATCCAGCTTGCAAGCAAGAAAATCTACCTATAGGTGGCAGCAAACTACTCTGCAAGGTGAAAGCCAGGCTTTTCAATTACCTTCAATTACTGGTTCATAATCACTTTACTTGGGTAAAGAGAAATAGTGTGGAGAGATGATCATGCAGTGGAGGAGTGGGGGAATGGGAGGCCAAAGATATTGTTGAACTAGATCATCATTCTAGTTGCGGAGCTTGAGACTGACAGGCAAAACGGGCCTGAAAGCTAAAGAATGGACAGCAGCTGCACATCACCTGAGTCTTGCCTTCAGACCATTTACTGATCCCTACCTTTAAATCTACCCATTTGGAATTAAGTGGCCTGCCCTAAATGCCAACACACTGCACTGCTCAAGGCGAGAAGTGATGCTGTTTCAAATGTATTTGCTTTATGATTTTAGCATTTGTTTTCCTGGTTTCAAGCACAAATATCTTACCCAGGCCTCTAGAGACGAGTGAACTAGTCTATGGATATTTATGGCACAAAGTTCTAATCATGCACCAGATATTAGGTGGGCATGCTTCAAGGCGCCAATTAGCCAGTGCATTAGGTTTCAGTGCCTGAAAGTGTTCACAGTATGTTCTATTGCCGTGGTCCCATTATCTTCTGGTCCTTTTAAAGAATCATTGCAGTATTTAAAAAAGATTAAATTCAATTTATTGAAAGGCAGGCCATTAAACCCTTGATATGCTCTGCATTCTGCCCATCTGATTTCACAGCCAAAACCTGATTTCTTACATAGATAATAGAAGCTAATGAAGGTAGATGCTATTAGAGAAAACCAGGGTTCAGTGATCATCAGAACCATCAATATTTGCATATTAGCCCCCAAGGAGTTATTTGCATAGGACATTTGGTTTGTTAAGGAGGCTACAGCAGTCATGAAAGATTTTTCATAGGATTATTCACATTTGGGGGAAACTGTAATGCCCCCTCGCCATGTTTAACAATAAAAAAGAGAACTCACTGAATAAGATTCACCTTACATTTCTGGAAGTAGGGTATCATTACTGCTGATCAAACAGATGGCAAAGAAGATAAGACTCTTGCTCCTCTAATGGTTGAGGAAAAGGTGAGGTCAACAGGCGATGCTTGTGCTGAAAATCCATCTTTTATACACCAGGGGATGTGCAGACTTTGGCTTGCAGGATCTACTTGGGCTTTCCCTAGATCACCGAGATCCACCAACCAGAAGCAGCAGGTGCAAAATAATGGCTTAGGAAGGTGACAGGGAATAGCAGCAAGTCAGAACTCTGGCTGATCTGCTTCAAATCAGGAGAGAGTAGCTGGCATTCACCTCTACTGACCACGAAATACTGAAGTGTCTAATGTCTGTCCAAAGTCAGAACCATTAGAAATATTCAAAGGTAGGAGATGGAGATAGTGCTTAATGTGACCGTTTTCCAGACTGCTGTCCACACTACTCTACAGGAACCCTGGTTTCTTTTGGGTAAACACTACTTTGGATTGCCATTCATTATGTCTGAGTTTTGTAGGGTTCAGGGAGAAACATGGCCTGGATAGCTCAGTTGGTTATAGCATGGTGTTAATAACACCAAGGTTGCTGGTTCAATCCCTGGATGGGACAGCTGTATATTGCAGGGTGTTGGACTAGATGAACCTCAGGGTTCCTTCCAATTCTATGATTCTATAGGGTGGAATTCAACACTGCACTATTCAAATTGTTTTTCTGTGCAAGCATTTCACCTTGCCCAATGGATTGATCCTCCCTCTGGAGAATTTTAGGGTCTTTTCATTAGAATCTAAATAAGACTGTGTTATGTTAGGGCCACAGAATACCCATACTCTAACCAAAATAGTATTTCTTATGTTGGTTATATTGATGCAGCAATGTGGGCCTCAGATGTATAAAGGTCCCCAGAAAAACAACTTCTTTTTTCTTTCTTTCTTTGGTCAGTTCAAAGAAGCATATATGAAATGTGCAGCTCTGGGCCATGAAAAGTCAGCATGTAGAGTTCTGCTTGATGCATTAGAGATCACAATCTGCCCTGCTCTGTAGACTATTTTGTTTAGTAATCCAGACATGCCAGCGGTAATCCAAATGATTCCAGAATTTATAGATGCAATCTTGTGCTGGATAGCCTGGAATTCTTTCTTATTAGTGGAGGAGGGTTGCTATGCTTTAGCCATCAAGACTGCTTGATCCTCATCCATAGACTAGTATAGCAAAAATGATATTTTGTCCTGGGAGTTACTGGTATACATCAACATTGTGGTACAGCAGGAGGATCAAGATGGAGAAATTAACTTCTTGGGGTATCAGTGTAGCCACGATGGTCCCTTTTTCATGTTTTTCTTCCCCTGCTGCTGCTGACATTTCCTATACTTCCAGAAGCTCTTAATGATGGAAGTGGCACATTTGTAGGCAACAAAGGTTTTCAGTGCTTACTTAGTCCTTTCCAGAGCCACCTCTTTGTGTCCATGGATTTGGTCACTGGTTTATCCTCATTCTCTAGGCCAGGGGTGGGTAATCTCTAGCCTTCCAGATGTGGATTGGACTCCAATTCCCATCAGTTCAGCCAGTATGGTTGGTGATCAAGGATTGATGGGAGATGTACTCCAACAACATTTGGAGGACCACATGTCTGCCAGCCTTGCTCTAGGCAAATGTTGGGCAGCCAGTTGTTGGGATTAAAGTGTGCCCTCTTATGACCCTAAAACTAAGAATTTGTCAAGAATGTATAATTTGCTGCTGAAATGGAACACACAGGATGAAACGGTTAAATCTGTTATGATTAAATGGGCACAAGATTTTGGACATAACATTATGTTTGCTGACTGGGAACAGTTATGGACCACAGGTTTGAAATTTACGGCATGTAATGCCTTAAGAGAAAATATAATGAAAATGATGTATAGGTGGTACTTAACCCCAGTCAAGCTAGCAAAAATCTATCACTTGCCAGATAGTAAATGTTGGAAATGTAAAGAAACTGAAGATACGTTTTTTCACCTTTGGTGGACATGCCCAAGGATTAAAGCTTTCTGGGAAATGATTTATAATGAATTGAAAAAGGTATTTAAATATACCTTTCTGAAGAAACCAGAGGCCTTTCTCCTGGGCATGGTCGGCCAATTGGTGCGAAGGGAGGATAGAACTTTTTTTATGTATGCTACAGCAGCAGCAAGAATACTCATTGGGAAGTACTGGAAGACACAAGAATTGCCCACCTGAGAAGAATGGCAGATGAAAGTGATGGACTATATGGAACTGGCTGAGATGACCGGCAGAATTCGAGACCAGGGAGAAGGGTCGATGGAAGAAGACTGGAAAAAATTCAAAATATATCTTCAAAAATACTGCAATATAAAAGAATGTTAGAAAGAGGTTGGAAAAAGAATATTAGGTCGTTTTGGCAGATATGATATAATGGACTAAGTAAAAATGAGGTGTGGAAATCGATGAAATAGAGGAGGTTTAATTACATTATTTTAATTTTAAAATACGTAAATGAAAAGAAGGTTAGAAGGATTTGCTGGAAATACGATCTGAACTAGAATACAAAATTGGGAGGTGAGAGGAGGTCATGGAAATAAGTAAAGGGAAAAAGGCTAAGTAAAGGTTTAATCTGTTTTTTGTCTTATTTTAACTTAATGTATTTTTATATTTTTTGTTAAGTCTTCTTTTATATTTTACTTTATTGTCCTTTTTTTATTTGTTCATTCTACGTTTTGTTATGGTTAAAGTTTTCTTTGTATTTCGTATGGTTTTTCTTTTTCTTTTTTGTAATCTTAAATTTGGAATAAATATCATTTAAAATAAATAAATAAATAAAGTGTGCCCTCTTATATTTGCCCTATAATATTAATATGCAGTAGTCTACCATTATATTATCATTCCAGAATATAATGAAGTTTGGAGATCTTCATTCTAGAGAAAAGTGGGAATGGACCCAAAAGCACTCTGCCCTTCATGGAAGGAATCCTTCCATGGAAGAGTAGTCTTTAGTCCAGTGAAGGGTCCCATGGTTAGGAGGAAGGAGATGCATTTTCCACCAATTCCTTCTCCCATGCTGTTCAACAAGGTTTTCCAGTTCTCTGGAACAGACCTTTTTTTATGGTGAAGGGTACTTGAGTGAGAAGTGAATACTGAAAATTACTCTCCCCTTCCATTTGTCAGAGTCTCTACTAGATCAAAGATAGCCCCATGAACAGAATATCACTTTGGGATCTAACCCATTGTATTTAAATTGCCACATAATTGCTTGTTATTCCTATGCATTGCCAGTAGCAGGAGCATGATCTGAAAGTATTCAGGCCTCAATTTTGATACTTCTTACTTGAGTTTTCTTTGAAGGCTTTCTTTGAAATGAGAATCAATGCAAAAACATGAGCAATGTGGTAGAGAGTAAAATCTCAAATCTCTCACAGTCCCATTCCCTGACTATAAACATCAATAACAGTGTTTTTAAGCCACTTTGTTCATAATGAGTGAAGTTTTCATGATGGCCCCAAATTGAGACCTCTGTTTCCATTACCCCATTCAGATCTCTTCCCATAATCAATGTGCCTTTAAAAGAAACTTTTCCTATAATAGACTTCCCAACAAAACCTTTCTGAGATCCATTTGGTACATAAACTGACATCAAGGTATATTTCCCTCCTACAAAATTAGCTTTTGACCAAAACATGCCTTCCTGCTGAGCCCTATCTGGTTTCACAAATTGTAAAATTTAAACTCTTATTTATCCCAATCAATGTCCCTCTCCTTTACCCTGCTGCTGTTCCTACATATATATTGCCCTTAAAATCTTATCCATTAATCTTGTGCCTACAATTCTTGTATGTCTCTCTTGAATAAATAGGATGTGTGCCCTTGTTTTCTTGATATGGTTGGCTGGAGAAGAAAAAGCTAAAGGGAGACATGATAGCTGCCTTCAAATACCCAAAGTGCTCAGATTTCAGCTAAACTTTAGGAGAAATATCATCATGGCAAGAGGAACAGCTCTTAACCATTAGGATACTTTTGTGGAATGGAAATATCAGTGTGAAACAGTGGATCTCACTGCCCCGGGTGGTGGGGTGGGGCAGCAGGCCTTATTTGACCTTCTGGCAACTTAGTCGTTGCTGTTACTGGGAGGGAGAGTGGAAGGGGTAAGGCAGCAGGGTGGTCAGCACTGTGCAAATGCACCACCAGTGGCAACATAGCCAGAGCTGTAGTTTCATCCACCTTTGTAGATCCTGCATTGTAGCTGCTGGGTTGAGGAAGGAGTTAGACTAGATGACCCCCAGCTCAATAATTGCACTTTCTGCCTTTTATTGAACTTATTAAAAATAGAAATATGGAAAGCTGTTCCTCAATCATTAAATGTAACAAAGCCATTTCCGACCTAGCGAGGAGAGGGGGTTGCGGGCGACCCCCTCCCACACACGCGGGGGCTGGGCTTAGCCCCCGCGAGATCAGGGAGATCCCCGGGCGTGTCTGCTCTACAACCCGCCAATCGGCGGGCTGGGGAGGCGTGGCCTTGGCTACATAAGGCCAGGCACGCCCGGGGACCGCCCTCTTTCCCCTTCACCAGCTGGAGCAGGTTTTTTCCCATCCCACCCACCCTTAGGTTTAGCTAGCTACGACCTTGCTATGGACCTCGGTTGGTCGCCGTATGGGGCCTGGTAGGAATTTTTCCAATTTGGCTCTCCATCAGCCTTTTGGTTTTTTCGCCTACCTCGTAGCAATCGTCACAACTTCTTCGGTAATTGGCGGTTAGGCATTGGCGGGGGTTCTTTGTTATACAAATGAGTGGGGGGGAAGGAAGCGCCATCACCTTCCCCCAAAGGTAAGGGTAGTCCGGTAAAGGACTCTGGTGGGGCGTTGCCTTGTCCGAAACCTGGGGAGGTGAGGGCCCCCGGCACGCCCCCGAGCGGTGACACCCGTGGGATCCTAGTTGGCGTACTTCAACAGGACTCCCACGGCTTGTGGTTAACCCTTCCCAGTCAGCATGCCGGGTAGTCGATAGGAGCCAATGCCTAAGGCCAATACCTTTCAATTCTGTAATCAATAAAGTCATGGCCTATTTATGCCCATTAACCTTAAATAACGTGTCCAGTGTCTTCATTTCACATGGGGGAGGGGTCTAGCCACGCAACAGTAAGAACCATAGAATCATAGAATTTTGGGGTTGGAAGCAACCCAAGGGACATCTAGTTCAACCCTATGCAATGCAGGAATCTCAGCTAAAACATCCATGACAGATGGCCACCCAAACTCTGCTTAAAAACCTCCAAGGAAGGACAGTCCACCATCTCTTGTGGGAGTCTGCTCCACCTGCCAAACAGCTTTTACTGTCAGAAAGTTTTTCCAAATTTTCAGTCAGTATCTCCTTTCTTGTTACTTGAAGCCATTGCCTCAAGTGCTACACTCAAGAGCTGGAGAAAACAAGCATGCTCCCTCTTCCACGTGACAGCCCTTAAGATATTTGAAGATGACTATCATATCTCCTCTCAGTCTCCTCTTTTCCAGGCTAAACATACCCAGCTCCTTCAAGCATTCCTCATAAGACTTAGTTTCCAAACCCTTGATCATCTTGGTTGCCCTCCTCTGCACACGTTCCAGCTTGTCAACATCCTTCT